TTAGGGGGAAAAAAACTTAAGCAACAGCTGCATTTGTAGATGCCAAAGAACAAAGACTTTCTGTCTTTATGGCACTTTTATCTTATTTACATGTTTTTACTAATCCAAATAATTATGTGCTCATGTGGATAGAATTGTTTGCTCCATGATCCAAGAGAAATGGGTGGGGAAGCACCTGCTTTTAGTCATTAAAGTCTTAATGCTTTTGCACTGCATCCAAGAAAATAGTTAACAGACAAAAAGTAATTTGCCTTTTCCTGAGAATGAAAAGGAAGACCTCTTTGGTTTCACTTTGTGAAGAAGAGCAGAGAGAAACCTCAAAGGTGGGTTTTCTCTGTTTATTGAAATGAAACCATCATGGTCCCCATAGGGAAAAATAATTCCTGGGTTTTGGTTCTTCCTGCCCTTTCTCACTCCCTGCCACAGAACTCAGCAATTGGAAGAATACCAGTTTTTGTTCCTTATTGGTGCTACCACCTGTTCTTATTGCTGAACTAAATTTCTTGGCTTTCTTTGGTGTGAACAGGATCTCCCTCTGGGAAAGGTGGGAGGAGGGTGAAAATGGGAACAGGAGGAGGCCCGTTCCAGCCCTTGTGCTCATGTGAGAGGGACACACAGGGGTTAGTGTGCTGCCCTAACAGAGGGGCTTTGTGCTACAGCTTCTTACAGAGCTGCAGCTCCACAGATGCATGCTGGGAGAGCTCAGGCTGCCTCATCCCTGGTACACTTGCTTTTTCCTAACAATAGCAGAGCAAGACTGATAATAATAGTTACAATAAAATAAAGAAGATGCAGGCATTCTGAATACATTCAGATACTCATTGTGTGCGGAGAAAGTTGCCTGTAATTAAGAGATGAGAAAAGAGTATAGTTTGGAGACATTGATGACACCAGACACAAGTCAGATCTGTTATTGCATATCCATTGTGCATGTAAGCAGAGCTCTGACTTTAGGTCTTTCCCTTTCTGTGCTGAAACCTTTCTTATATAGTCATGGGAAATATGCCTCTCCTAAATAAGAGCAACAGAAAGAGAAAAGATTGGTCCTTCCTACCCAGATTTCAGAGACTAGGGAGGTAGCTCAAAGTAGATGCATTTCTGACCCAAGGTCAGTAGCAGACAGGCTTCTTAGTAACCTAAAAATATAATGACAATAATAATAATAATAATAATAACAACAACAACAACAATGGCAGCTAATACTTAGATAGCACTTATACAGCCAGGCATTAGTCTAAGGTATAGAGATATAGATAATTCATTTAATCCATAAATAACCCTAGGAGGTAAGTACTATTACTAATCCTCTTTTAAAAGAGGAAACTGAAGCCTAGAGAAGTTAAGTAACTTTTCTAAGGTCACAGAGATGGTAGATAATAGGACTGGGATTTTGAACCCAGATAGTCTGGTTCCAGAGTCCATGCTCTTAACTATTACTCTATACCATCTCTCAGTGGAGTCCTGTCCTTTCTCAAGCAGGGTCATCTGAACCACAGAACACAGAACATAACTTGAGTGACTATTTTAATTCTCTCTGGATAATAACATAACTACTGCATGCATAAGAGAGACGTTAGTTCATTAGGAATTGTTGATGCCTTAGAGTATTAGGGCTTAATTCTTGAGTGAACTCAGTTGAGAAGGACTAAAGGGGCTGTAGTTTGCAAATATCACATTTGTACACAACTGTCCTGGAACTAATTTCGCATTGGTTTGTTTTGAAACCAGTTTTGAGCTCTGCACAGAGGACCAAACCTCATCCATCCCATGCTCTAGAGATAGAGCTTTTGTTAGCAGTAATATCTTAGCATTAACAGTTGAGAAGAATAGCAAGTTGGGATGTGATAGTGCTCACTTAGTGTTTTCAGTTGTCAAACCACTATTTGTAAAAGCAGTCACTGCTTCTTGGGCCACTTTTTCCTTTGTTTCTCTGTTCCTCTGTTTCAGAATCCTATAGGTCACTTGGTGTAGATATCCAATTGCCCTCTGAGAATGTTTAACTATGGTCCTAGACCGTTCCTTTTGGTCTTAGTTTAAGGGTCACTGATAGTGAAGGTCCTGCCTTGCCTTTCCCTGATCTTAAATATATTTGTGAAAAATGTCTAGGTTAATCCAAAATAACTTGGAGTACTTATAATAGATTTCCCCCAGCTCCTAGCTTATAAAATAATACTAAATATGTATTATTTAGTACTGTCTCCACATTGTATGGAATTCTTTGTAGGAAATAATAGCAGGTTATGTAGCAAATTGTTCTTGAGCTGCTTTTGGGATAGGTGTTCAATGTGTATGAGGAAGAACAGTGCTAGTAAGAGAGTAGAATGAGGAAAAAACAGTTCTAACTTGAAATTAGCAGAATGAGGTTTAATTCCATTTTGCTTTAACCAGTTATATTACCTTAAGAAAAATTCTCAACTTTTCTGGGTGATTCTTTTTTTTTTCTTATTTTTTTTTTATTCTTATGTTAATCCCCATACATTACATCATTAGTTTTAGATGAAGTGTTCCATGATTCATTGTTTGTGCATAACACCCAGTGCTCCATGCAGAATGTGCCCTCCTCAATACCCACCACCAGGCTAACCCATCCTCCCACCCCCCTCCCCTCTAGAACCCTGTTTGTTTTTCAGAGTCCGTCGTCTCTCATGGTTCGTCTACCCCTCCGATTTCCCCCGCTTCATTCTTCCTTTCTGGGTGATTCTTTATCTGCTTTAAAAAAAGAGGGACTAGGGATACCTGGGTGGTTCAGTTGGTTAAACATCTGACTCTTGATCTCAGCTCAGGTCTTGATCTATGGGTCGTGGGTTCAGGCCCTGTGTTGGGCTCCCCAATGGGCATGGAGCCTACTTAAAAAAAAGGAGGGGACTTAATAATATCTTAATAAGATCTACCCATATCACATCATTCATTCATCCAAAACAAGTTATTGGTTGCCCTCTATATGCCAGTATCCTTCTAGGTGCTGGGAATAATATAGCAGGGAATTAAAGGGCAAAAATTTTCTGTCCTCACACTTAAATTCTAGAGAGTATAGTCAGACAGTAAATAAGTAAAATACATGGTATTAAAGATTATAATAAGTGCCACAGAGAAAAATAAAACAGGTGAGGGTGGAAGGTTTGGGGAAGAGGGGGTGGAGCTTACAATTTTAAATAGAGTGATCAGGGGGCGCCTGGGTGGCTCAGTTGGTTAAGCGTCTGCCTTTGGCTCAGGTCATGATCCCAGAGTCCTGGGATCAAGTCTGCATTGCGCTCCTTGCTCAGTGGGGAACCTGCTTCTCCCTCTGCCTGCCATTCCCCCTGCTTGTGCTCTCTCTCTCTTTTTGACAAATAAAATCTAAAAAAGAAAAAAAGGAAGAAAGAGAGAGTGAGAGAGAAAGAAAGAAAAAAAAGAAAGAAAGAAAGAGAAAAAAAGAATGATCAGGAAATACTATATAGTGAGGGTAATATTTGGATAAAATTCTGAAGAGCGAGTGACTGAGCTGCTGATAGTTCAAGTAAGATGAGGACCAAGAATTGACCATTCTAGGTTGGTAAGGCCTCCTATTCTTAGATCACATAAGTAGGTTTATAAAATGGTCTTATTTCTGGTCTCATTAGTAAGTCTGAAAAATAACCATGGGGTTTTTTTATGTGAAGAAATTACTAACAAGAATTTCAAGTGAGTGACATTCTTTGGTGTGTTGATATGTAACTATCGTTGAATTTATTGTTTATCTGGGTGGTTTAGTGAGGATTTGGGCCACGTGATGTCAAAGGATCATATTCTAATTTTTGTGGGGAAGGTCCAATACCACTTGAGAAGGACTCATCAAGCCAGGTGCCACTTGTTGCCACTCTTTGTTTCCATTCTCTGGAGGTCACATTCATCATTGTTTTAGATCAGGCAAAGATGGAGAAGATAGATACATTTAATTACACCAAAATTAAAAAACTGCTCCATATAAAAGACATTAGAAGACTGGAAGAAGATGTTTGCCACAAGTCATATTTATAAAAGACTCAGAAAAACTAAATGTGGTTAGAAAGACTCAAATTAACCAGTCTGAGTGTATTTATTAATTGCTGACAAGGATATGGGGAAATTTATTTATATTCATTTACTGGTGGAAGTAAAAGTTGAGATAGCCTCTTTATAATGGCAAAAAATTAGAGACTGCTAAAATGTCCATCAATAAAGAAATGGATAAATAGATGTCGTATAGGCACCTGATAAAATACAACACATCAGGGAAAAGGGATGAACCGTGTGTGTGTGTATGTGTGTGTGTGTATAAATTATGGATAGATCTCAAAAATAATGCTGAATTTAAAAAAGTAAAAGTCAGTGTGATGCTTTGTATATAAACAAAAAATATACATAAAAGTATCTATGTATTATTAAAGGATACACACACACACACACACATACACAAATACACAGGTATTAAAAAACAGAAGATTGTGCAACAAACTCATGATAGTGAGTGCCTGGTAGAGAGTGGGTGGTCTTAAATGGGACTTCATCTGTAGATTTGAAATAAACATGATGGAATGTTTATTTCTGGGTATTAGACAAGTAGGTCTTTGTTATATTATTCTTTGTCCTTTGAGTAATTCTAAATTAAGAGAAGGGGGCCAAGTTTCATAGGATGAGCCCCAGAGAATTATTTACCAAATGATTTATATATAATTTGTCCTTATTTACTGTGGATCTTCTACCTCTGTATCAGAGGAAATGAGGTAACCCTATATTAATTAATGACAGTGGTCTCTCCTAATGTGTTCTTGATGATATCACAGTCAGATGGAAGAGCAAGGATCCTTACTAGCACAGATCATGCTCCTTATTCTGACTCTTGATTTTTTACTTTTTTATTACTAACTACAAGCATATCAACTCATGGGAAGTACATTTGGTTCCACTGTCAAAAGCATGGAGATGCTAGCTTGACAGACTGGGATGTGTAGAAGCTTAATAACAACACTGCTTTTTTCCCTTGTCTAACCTCTTCCCTGCAGGGAATCTTTAACCAGTTTCAGTGTAGTAGTGAAAAAGTGCTTCCATCTGACACTCTCCGCAGTGCTCTGGCAAAGACTTTCCAGGATGAACAGCGTTTCCAGCTGGGAATTATGGATGATGCTGCAGAGTGCTTTGTAAGTGTTGGCCTCTGGCCCTTTTTGATATGGGGTGAGACTGTTGATGATTTCCATCAAGGACTGGGTACTTTACTGTAGTATTTAGTCTGCCCTAGTATCTACAATTAGGACTAGGAATTTCCCTAGTTTTTCAGAGCTCTAGGGTGTCTCTGTTAATGAAGTAGGAATTGCATAATGGGTTTATTCTTTTTCCTTCAGGCTTAGAGTAGTTTTGTGCTTGCCATTGCATAAAACAGTGGGTCTTGCCTTCAGAGGAGACAGGGCTCATTAAAATACAAATTGCCGTGTCCCATTCCCTTGAGTTTCTGATTCAGTAGGTCTGGATTGGGGCCCAAGTATATCTAGCTCTAACAAGTTTCCAGGTGATGCTAATACTGATGCTGCTGGTCTGGGGACCACCTTACTTTGTGCACTCCTGCATTACTAATGATAATTAAACAGAGAAGAACTGAGTCCCTAACACAAGTGTAATGTGCTGTTTAGGTAGCTACATTGTTCCCAGTGACTTTTAGTAGAAGACTGTTCTGAACTCTGGGTTCCATCCATCAACCTTCTAAAGACTCTCTGTGCATCCATTAAAAAAATCTGAGAGTGGGGTGCGTGGGTGGCTCAGTTGGTTAAGCGACTGCCTTCGGCTCAGGTCATGATCCTGGAGTCCCAGGATCGAGTCCCACATCGGGCTCCCTGCTCCGCAGGGAGTCTGCTTCTCCCTCTGACCCTCCCCCCTCTCATGTGCACGCTCTCTCTCTCTCTCTCAAATAAATAAATAAAATCTTAAAAAAAAAAAATCTGAGAGTGATCTATATTCCATTACAGGGTAAAATGTCACCAAAATCAGAGGTACTCCTGAGAAACTGGATCACTTACATATTGCTGGTGGGAACGTAAAATGGTATAGCCACTCTGGAAAACAGTTTGGCAGTTTCTTAAAAAACTAAACTTAAAAATTATCATATGGTTCAGCAGTTGCATTCCTGGACATGTATCCCGTATCCCAGAGAAATGAAAACTTAAGTTTATACCTGTCCATGAATGTTCATAGAATCTTTATTTGTAATAGCTCCTGATTGGAAACAACACAAATGCCTTAAATGGTAAATAGTGAAACAAACTTTGGTATTCCCATACCATGGAATACTATGCAGTAATAAAAAAAGGAATTTACACATCAACTTGAATGGATCTAAAAGGAATTATGCTGAGCGAAAAAACAGTATCAAAAGGTTATATACCTACCATATGCTCCCATTTATATAATATTCCTGAAATAACAAGCTTATAGAGATAAGAGAACAGATTAGTGGTTGCTAGGTGTCAGGGTTGGAATTGGGTGGGTAAGGCTATAAAGGAATAATGTGAGGGAACCTTGTGATAGAACAGTTTTATATCTTGATGGCAGAGGTTGTTATATGACTCTGTACATGTAAGAAAATTGCATAGAGTTACACACACAAATATATGTAAAACTGGTGGAATCTAAATAAACTCTGTAGACTATATTGATGTCCGTTTCTTGGTGTGGTTATCGTACTATAGTTATGCAAGATGTTACCATTGGAGGAAACTGGGTGAAGGGTACATGGACTTCCTATACCATTTTTTTGAAACTTCCTGTGAACTTATAATTATTCAAATTAAACCGTTTTTTTAAAAAAAGTAGAGGTATTCTTACCTTCCAAGAGGACTACTATTTCTCTGAGTAAACTGCCTACCAATATGTGCATTTTTCTATTACATATCACTGATAATACTGCTTTTGTTCTTTCCCTATTAGGAAAACCTCCTGATGAGAATTCACTTCCACATTGCTGATGAAACCAAAGAGGATATATGTACTGCCCAACACTGCATCTCCCACCAGAAATTTGCAATGACATTGTTTGAACAGGTGAACCTTATCTCTGTCTACATCACTTCTTCTTCAAGAACACTTTATGCTGGGCTGTGGGGTGTTAGATGGGTGCTAAAACAACTAATGACTGTGGCTGCCTGGTTTTGCTTTTTTACCTGGGCCCAGTGTGTGTGTACTAGCTGTGGTGCCACTTCTGATCCGCTGCCTTTCATCCAGATGGTGCATTACATCTCCACTACTTCCCTTTGGTGAGTCTTAAAGGGTTCTCTGTTTGTACTCTTAGGTACTCCTTAAATGATTGAGTTTTCACTGACGGCATCCAAGTAGCTTATATTTTTATTGTTAAGACTATGCTATATTGTAGGAACTGAGAACAATAACTTCAAAGTAACCTTTGTTCTTCTTCCCTCCTCTCCCAACCATCTCCTTTTCTTAGGTTCAGTTCTGGTGGGAGGTGAAATGGGGATTCTATAAGCTTTGGATTTTGGGACAGGCAGAGGCGTTCATTGTGTTTGGGACACTGAAGCTGGTCAGGGCAAGGGGCTTTGATATAGTGGGCAGAAGAAGAAAATCAAACATGTGAGTTAAGAGTTTGTATGAATAATCTATTTGATTTAGTTATAACTCTGGGTAACTCCTACCATCATTCCCTTCCATTCCCTATCTTGAAGCAATCAGGCTATTTGTATGCTGGAAAGGCGAGAAAAACCCTCACCAAGCATGTTTGGTGAGCTGCTGCAAAATGCCAGCACCATGGGAGATCTGCGGAACTGTCCGGTGAGTTAAGTCAGGGGTAAGGTTCAGAGTGGGGAAGGGAGCCCTAGGAGTAGTGGAATTGAGGCAGAGCCAGTGGGAAACATCTCAAACTAGTCTTATATATGTATTTCAGAGCAACTGTGGTGAAAGGATTCGGATTCGCCGTGTGTTGATGAATGCTCCACAGATTATCACAATCGGGCTGGTATGGGACTCAGATCACTCCGACTTGGCAGAGGATGTCATTCACAGCCTGGGTACCTGCCTTAAGCTGGGTGATGTGAGTATTAGTTACCTTTATCTCTGACTTAGAGTTCTTGTGTCTTAGTATTGCTTAAGGGCAGTGAACACTAAACACAAAGGTATATCCTAGATGACAAATATTACAGAGTTTTGGACAAATATACTAGTTATATGTGTACACATACATGTGCATGCATGTACCTGTTCACATACCTCCTTTGGGTAGGTGGCAAAGGCTTTTTAGAAAAAATGGGATGACATGGGTCTTGAAAGACAGGATGGGCAGAGCTTCGCTACTGATAAAAATAAAGCAATTTACAGAGTTATTGTGTGCCCTACTCATTGTTTGTTTATACCGGTGTAGAGTGGGGAAGTGTTTTCAACCACAGGTGGTAATAAAGTCAAAGAAGTGAGCAATCCTGACTAGAGCTGCTATGGCAGGTGGAGGGGTAAAAGTTGGTGACCTGAGTTTTACAATACAGAATTTACAGTGAGGAACCAATGTCTGTTGAGAAGGTAATGAAGTAGCTTGGAAGGGAATTAGTGGTTTAGTGGTTTTCTGTGAATCTATTCAGAGAGATAGGTAAAAAGACTTTAAGCCTGGGGTCCTTAACCTTATCAGTTCCATATCTATACCTAGTATAGGTACAGCCAGGGTTTACCTTCAGTTCAAGAGAAGAACCAGAAATTCTGTGGTTTCCTTTCTACTGGTTTCTTTCTCTTACAGTCCTGTGACTAAGGAGATCTCTTGTCATTCTTTAATGTCACTAAGCCACAACTGAGAATAAATGAACTATCTGGGATCTTATTTTAGGTCTCCTTCCCAAGGAATCTCTGACATGAGTAGGTTATACACCATTAAATCTCCTTTTTCTAAATTTCTGTAGTCTACGTCTCCTGTATTGTTCTAGTTTTGTTTTATTTTTATGATGATTTTCTCATTCAAATAAGTTTCTCAAGGCAAATATCCTTTTCGTCAAATTTTTTTGTATGTCTCTTAGAACCTATGGCAGTGCTAGACATCCACGAATTGAAATGCTGATAACCAGCATGATGGTATTGCTCCTCCTAAGGGCATTTTTACCCCTTAGTTAGGGTCTCAGCAGGAAATTTATATTTGTGCACCAGTTGATAAGTAACTTTTGAAACCTGAGTGTTTTGTTTTTGTTTTGTTTTGTGCTTTTCAACTTTCTGGGCTCCTTTTACGGTAAGCACCAGCAATAAAATATTATTGAAAGTATGAAGAAATATCACCACCTTTTCAGTTTACTGGCCCCTATCTGTCTTGCTTTTCCTTATATTTTGTCCTTTTAGGTTCATTTCTGATGATTAATATGGACTAGGGAAAATTTTAGACTGAAGAGTGGAGAAACAAGTCAGTACCTTAATAAGAAATGATGGAGTCTGCTGAGAGATGATGTGAGAGGGTTGAGTATGTGACTGTCTTTTCCATTCTCTTTTTTCCCCACAGCTGTTTTTCAGAGTGACAGATGACCGGGCCAAGCAGTCTGAATTGTACTTAGTAGGAATGATCTGTTACTATGGCAAACATTATTCTACATTCTTTTTCCAAACAAAGATCCGCAAATGGATGTATTTTGATGATGCTCATGTCAAGGAGGTAGGAATATTCAAGCCCTTCTTAAAGTGTTTGGTGACTGCAACAAAAAACTAAGGATAATTTCTTGTCTTCTTGTCTTCAGTGTCTATTTTCATAATTTTGATGTCTGTTTACCTATCTATCTATTGAATTTACGGGAGTGTCAGTCTTATCTTCTCCAAGTAGATGGCAAGTTCCTCAAAGATAGGATCGATATATTTTCTGTTGTTTTCTCTGAATCTTCTCACCATGCAGTCAGCACAGGTCTGTGTTTATAGCTGACAAAGTGTGTTTTTTTTTTAAATGTATTAATTGGTTGATTTGAGTGAGGACAGTTTAATGCTTCAAATTAGGTTAGAAGGTTAGCATGAAGTTCAGAATTCCAAACTTGGAATCATCAGTGGGTCATCCTTTGTCCCAGAGCTGCTATCAGTTATTCTCTGATTGTTACCTCCCTGAAGTGCCTTAACATGTTTTGGGGATAGTGTAGAAAAAAAAAAAAAACGGGGCTATGAGGATATGTAAAGCTGGAACCTTGTTACTATCTAAATCACAGTCTGTGACTGAAGCAGTTAAGGTGATCTGCAGGAGTTAGGAAGCTTCTTGAGATAAGGTTAGCAGCTAGGAGACTCCTCTGACTATAATTTATACCAATCCATGGACATTAAGCAGTGTCTTCTACAAATAGTAAAGTCTGTCAAATTTCCTGATTGTCTATCTCTTTTTTGCTGTTGTAGTTTTGGACAATTTATATGAATTCCTTGAGCTTTAGCATTTTTATTTGAAAAATAATACTTGCCTTATAAGATATTAAATAAGATTTGTATGTAAAAAGGATATTTGTTTTAGTTAAAATAATAACTTAGTTATAAATTTACTGAACATCTATTATGAAATAAGCACTGTGCTTGTTGTTCAGTTCTTAAGAGCACACCATCTCAGAATGTGACTGGTTCAAGTTTAAGAGAGCGGGTGAGTTTAGGGATTTGATTGGATTGTTGTTTCCACGGCTCTTCTGCCACTCTTTTCCACTGCTTTGGCAGTGCTGAATCCAGCTCAAAGCTAAGGCCGAGGTTCAGCTGTCTATTCTAAGCAGTTTGACATTTTATGTACTGCCATGTGTGAACTCTGAAATGGAATGTCATTTATTCTAAGGCAGTCTGTGAGAGAGTTTCTGCCTCCTCTTTAGCTTCATAAAAGTGATTTTAATATTTAGGCGAAAATTATATAATTTATAGAATGATAGAATTGCAGATTTCAAGTAAGGGCTTTAATCTGAAAATAAATTGATCACTAAGGCGGCTGAAGTCCCCTCACATAGCATATTCACCTTTGAGGACTTTTATTTATATTTCACAACTGAATTGATGTTTCACAGGAATAAAAGTAATTTTATTCATCATTCCTACCTCTTACAGGGTTTTACTGCTTTCTAAAAGGATTTAACAACAACCAAAAAAGATTTAACAAAAAATTTATGAAATTTAGGTCTAAGGTCTCTTTTGTGGTCTCTTTACCCAATTGTTGTCTTTTTATCTTATTTTCTTTAGAAAAACCGAGTAGGAAGATATGTTTTGAATTTTGGATATGAAGTATAACCATTATGTTCTTCTGATTGTTTCTGGTTCAGATTGGGCCTAAATGGAAGGATGTGGTGACCAAATGCATCAAGGGGCATTATCAGCCTTTGCTACTGCTTTATGCAGACCCCCAGGGTACCCCAGTGTCCACCCAGGACCTGCCTCCCCAAGTTGAGTTCCAGTCATACAGCAGGACGTGCTATGATAGTGAAGATTCAGGTGAGCAGTCTAGCTCTTTACCGAATCCTTCTCCCTTCCAATGTGGCCATTGGACAGTTAGGACTCACACTTAATCATGAGCCTAGCACATAGCCTAGCTTGTAGAAAGAGGATCCATTAGAGATGGAAAGAAGTGCCAACTCGTGCTGAAGCCCAAGGTGTGCCAGGCTTTGTTTCCTTCGGCCTTCAAGAATGTATTGTCTGTCACCTGGCCCTGATTCAAAAGTGAGAGGGCAATTAGGTTGATTTAGCCTGAAGTGATAAGTTTATGAGGGAGACTCAGTGTTTAACCTTCTAATAATGGTAAGATGACTGATTCTTACTATCAATTTAACAGTGACTGAATTGTTAAGACCAAGAAAAATTATACTTACTACAAAACTAGTCCTTTTGTTTGGGATAAGAGATTTTTGTTTTAAAATGCCAAGTGTAGTAGCAGTATTCCTCAGCCCATGAATCAGTTTTTCATTTCTAATTCAATTGTTTGCAACTTAAATCATGTTTTCCTGTAGAAACAATTTGCAGCCTGATGGCTAAAGTCTCGGGTTAGCTCATAGAGGCATATATTAGAAATATAACCCTAATGGTTTTGGCTTGATTTCTGAAAAGGGGGAAAAAGAAATATTCTTTTCCTCTTCTAGATCTAGGACTGTCCTGGAGTATAATCTTGAAGAAGACGCTTGTCCTTGGAATTTTTTCCCTCCCTTTTGTGCCTCCCTCCTGCTTGGCACCTGGTGTTCTTCCCAACCATGTACCTACCCAGACCTGCTCTACTTTTTCTCCCTTCAATCAAACGCCCATTTCCACTTTTGTGCTTATCTCAGCAAGTTGTTCAGAGAAAAGTAGTCTGATTGAACTAATTTACTCTAAAGTGTAAATAACAGTCCTGGGGCACCTGATGGCTCAGTCATTAAGTGTCTGCCTTCGGCTCAGGTCATGATCCCAGGGTCCTGGGTTCAAGCCCCGCATCAGGCTCCTTACTCAGTGGGAGGCCTGCTTGCTTCTCCCTCTCCCACTCCCCCTGCTCGTGTTCCCTCTCTTGCTGTCTCTCTCTCTCTCTGTCAGATAAATAAAATCTTAATAAATAAATAAATAACAGCCCCATAATTTCTCAGATATATTAAAAATGCTTACAATGTCAATTAAATTTTTTAAAGTGACATTTTTGGCAGTATAGGAGAAAAATTATGGGATGGGAAGCAACTGGTTATGTATGCCAGGTCGGCCTGGGACTCTCCATCTAAATAGATCTTATTTTTCACTTTTTCCTTTCTTCCACTTTTCCCCATAGGTTTTCTAAAAGCCCCACAGTTTTTCACAGTGGCAGGCAAAGTGAGGGCTTCAGCAAGGTAGGGGCAGGAGTGGGAGGAATTGTTTGTGTGTCTGGGTTATCTGGAAGTTGGGTGTTGGGAAGAATGGCTCTGGTATATCCTTCTCACCCTTCCATCTAGGAAGTTCTTGACTTATGGACCTTTGTTGCCATCCAACTCTTTGCCTTCTCTCTATCACTGTCCTCTCTTTCCTTACTTTTGCATATGTGTCTCCTCCTTCCCTTAGGGAGGGAGCCCTCCATCTCAAGTGACACTCGAACAGATTCCTCAACGGAGAGCTATCCCTACAAACACTCCCACCATGAGTCTGTGGTCAGTCACTTCTCTTCTGATTCTCAGGGGACAGTCATCTATAATGTGGAGAATGATTCCACGTCTCAGAGCAGTCGGGACACAGGTAGGGAGTTATACAGTGGACCCTGCTTGCTTGATTCAGTTCCTGCATAGAGATTCTCCCAGGAAAAAGAAACTGGGGCAAGTCAGAGATGTTTGTCATTCAAAGGGAGAAAGGCACAGAACTTGGGTAATTGGGTGGGATGAAAAGAAGCAACACAACTCTGAATGAACGATGATATTCCATTACACATATTCTTGTCAACACCAGCATATCAATAAGGATGATTGTAATGTGATTATTGATGTGATTGCTTATTCAAAAATCTGCTTTTTGTTCCTGTTATATTTTTGATCCCTGTCTTTCTCATAGTGTCCCAAAAAACCTTTGTGGTCTTGTACCTCATTATGTTTTCATGCTAGGCTTTATCCCAAGTGGAGGGCTTTGAGAGAAGGGGCATATTTATGGGCATGGGACACTTGCTCATCACCTTGCTGGGTTTCCTGAAGGACAGAAAAGCAAAAGAAAGAAAGCTAGCCTGTTTGTTATTGTGAGTTCCATGCAGAGAACATTCTTGAGCTGTTCTGTTCATCTGTAGGAAAATGTGCCTGTTGTCAGTGGAAGAAATCAGTACAGGACATGAAAAGAAGAACAGTGAGTGACTCACTGCTGAGATGGAAAGTTTATCACCTAACCCATAGAACAGTGCCCATACTCTTAGAGACTTGGGAATTAGTGAGCTCATGGCTTCAGATTGGTGGTTCCTACTCTGTGCTTGACTACTTTTTTTAAGTTTTTATTTAAATTCCACTTGTTAACATACAGGATAATATTAGTTTCAGGTGTACAATATAATGATTCAGCACTTGTCATACAACACCCGGTGCCCATCACAATGAGTGGCACTCCTTAATCCCCATCACCATCCTCTCACCCACCTCCCCTCTGGTAACCATCAGTTTGTTCTCTTCAGTTAAGACTCTATTTCTTGGTTTGCCTCTTTCTTTTTTTCCCCCTTTGCTCATTTGTTTTGTTTCTTAAATTCCACATATAAGTGAAATCATATGGTATTTGTCTTTCTCTGACTGACTTATTTCATTTAGCATAATACTGTCTATTTCCATCCATGTTGTTGCAAATGGCCAGATTTCATTCTTTTTTATGGCCGAGTAATATTCCATAATAGCCAAGAAGATATGGTATCTTCTTTATACATTGGCTATTATGGAACATTATGTATACATATATACACATATATGTATATATATATACACAATCACATACATACATATATATGTATGAAGAAGATATTGTATTTCATATCTATGTGTGTGTATGTGTCTATGTATATATATATGTGTATATCTATGTATGTGTATATGTGTATATGTATATAGACACATACACACACATAGATATGATATACCATATCTTCTTTATCCACTCATCAATTGATGGACACTTGGGCTGTTTCCATAATTTGGCTATTGTAGATAAGGCTGCTATAAACATCAGGGTGCATGTATCCCTTTGAATTAGTATTTTTATAATCTTTGGATACATACTTTTTTTAAAAAAAATAGGGAATTTTAAACATTTTCAGAAGTATACAGAACACTATACTGCCCCTCCATAGACTCAACGCCTAGTGTCAGTAATTATCACTCATGGCCAATCTAGTTTTATCTGTACCTCTACCCACTCCCCCTACTCCTGGATTATTTTGAAACAAATTCCAGATATTATTTCACCTTTTCCATAAATATTTGTAGTATGTATCTCTAAAACAAGAAACCATTTTTATCATTATCACACTTAAAAATATTAATAATTCCTAAAAACCACTAAATAACCAATGAGTGTTCAAACACACAAATATCTTGTAAATTTCATAATTTTTTAATGGTTTGTATGCTTGATTCTGAATCCAAGTGAGGTTTACACATTGGGACAGATTGATAAGTCTTTTACGTTTCTTTTAAACTACAGGTTTCTCTATTTTTCCTTGCAGCTGATTGTTGAACAACTAGGTAGTTTGTCCTATAGATTGCCCACATTCTGAAGTTTGCTGATTATATTCCTATGGTAAACTCTAGCATGTTTCTCTGTTCTCTGTATTTCTTGTAAATTGGCAGTTGGATCTAGAGGTTTGGTTAGATTCATGTTGGATTTCTTTTGATGACTATTGCATAGATGACTACTGCAAAGTGAGTTTTTTTTTTTTAGACTGTATTTCTGAAACTGTGAATCAGGGAGAAGCCAAATAACAGGATAAACAAGGCATATTTTCCAGGAGAGTCAGGCTTATGTTAAAGGTCTGTGGATGCCAGAGACACTGCCATATACACCACAAAAACAAGCATCCCCCAATGACCTTAGCCCCATTGTTCCATTCACTCGCAGGTGGGAATTTAGGCCAATGTCCACAGAGGTCACAGACAACATACATACGGTTCTGTTATATCCCATATATTAGCCCTTCATGTCCTAAGGAAGACATTTTCTCTTAGAGATTTTCATTTTAGTGTATCTTTAAAAAAAAATCTTGTGTTAAGTTGCCTCCATCTTTTTTCTTGGGTTAGGACAACCCAGGAACGGCCCTTTTGTGTCTATGATGTTGCTGTTCACAGCTTTTCTTGATAGGCCTAGTACAATCTTGGGAACAGGGTTGCTGTATGCTGAAGGTCGGACAGTAGCTCTTAGCCTTGCCTATCTTAGGTAGTTACGCTGTGCATTTTTTTTTATTGGTGTACCATGTTTGATTTGTCCCTGATATCTTTGGAGTTTTTCTGAGAAATGGAGCAGTAATACAGCATCAACTTATTAAAATACATTTTAAGCCTTTAAAAAAAAAAAAAAAAAAAAGGTCTGTGGATGGTTGGGGGTAGGGGAGCATACTCCCATCGGTTTAACATTTGCAGATTTAGTTGCTCCAAGTGATTTCCTCCTTTCTTAAATCTTCCTTTTGGGCCCAGAGGTAGCAAAGGATCAGATAAAAGCAATAAAAGATTACATTGCGGGGGGTGCCTGGGTGGCTCAGTCAGTTAAGCGGCTGCCTTCGGCTCAGGTCATGATCCCAGGGTCCTGGGATCAAACCCCACGTCGGGCTCCCTGCTCGGCGGGGAGTCTGCTTCTCCCTCTCCCTCTGCCTGCTGCTCTGCCTACTTGTGCTCTCTCTCTACCTCTCTGTCAAATAAATAAATAAAATCTTTAAAAAAAAAAAGATTACATTGGTAATTTCTTGAAAATAGGTAGACATATCACTACACTGCTAATACCTGAATATGTACAAGAATTTTCATATACTAACATATGAAAACAAATTAGCCCTTGGTGCATTTGAGAACCTAGAGGATTTTCTCTAAACCTGTTTTCTAATTTAATTCAGTTGCTTAATTCACCTTTGGCTTCCAGCAGTTTAGATGATTATATCCTTTAGAATCTGACCTTGGCTGTTATCAAATCATACATTTACATCCTGTAGGCATGAAGCAGGGCAAGTTATGTAAAAGAGCCCAAATCTCCTGGGCTTCCCAGAGATCAGTACTGAGGAATTATGAGGTGTAATCTCTGGGTGAAGCCTGGTTTGGTAAAGCACTCATTGGGGATGGGAATGAGAATTATTCAAAGTTCAAATGTCCTTTTAAATGATTCACATTTAAGGAAGATTTAGAACTGAATCTTAAAGCCACCCACAATCAGAGCTCTTGTGGGCAAAGGCTGGGGCACCTGGGCCAATACCAGATATAATGAAAATGAGACTTTGCTTGGTATGTGTTGCTAAACGAAAGGAAAGCTCTGTCTTTTATTTATGAGAGTGAAAATATGTTGATTACATGACATTTTTATACATCTTTAAAACTGTCACCTTTTAAAAATTACCAAGTAATGTGTCCTTCTGGGTCACTGGGAAAGATTACGAGCAGGATCAAGACTGGTAATTGCTCAGGAGGCATTGTAAATTTGTAAGCTCCCATTAAATACTTGAGCTTCTCTGCATTTATCTATTGAGTGATTCTTGCTACGCTTAAATCAGATAGTCTTGGCCCCTACAGCTTCTGATTCATGGGTATACTAAATTCGTAGCACTGCTATGAATCCCAAAGGGAGACTAGGTTCTCAAGAGGATGGAGGTCAGTCTCAGATACCAGCTTACCCCCATTTCCTTGTTCTTTCAGGACACCTGACTGATAGTGAATGTAATCAGAAACTCACATCCAAGAAAGGGTCACTGATAGAACGCAAGAGGAGCTGTGGCCGGGTTAGGAGGAAAGGCGATGAGCCACAGGCCTCGGGGTACCACAGTGAAGGCAAGCCACTCTGCACTGTTTGTCTTTCTTCATTCACTCTGGCAAATTGTGTCATACTCCATACTGGCTTTTCCTTTCTGCTTTCATACGTTGGGGTCTGGGTATCTATGATTATTTTAAACATTTGTATTTGTTTAATTCTTTGTGTTTTTAGGAGAAACACTGAAAGAGAAACAGGCTCCTAGGAATGCCTCTAAACCATCCAGCAGCACCAATAGACTAAGAGATTTTAAAGAGACAGTTAGCAATATGATTCACAACAGACCATCCCTGGCTTCTCAGACCAACCTAGGATCTCCCTGTGTGGGGAAGGGAGGAGACCAGACTGACAAAAAGCCTCCTAGGAACCTGTCTTTACACTCTCGTGACTGGGAAGTAGAGAGTACCAGCAGTGAGTCAAAATCCAGTTCTTCTAGCAAGTATCGTCCAACGTGGAGACCCAAACGGGAGTCTCTGAATATTGACAGCATCTTTAGTAAGGACAAAAGGAAGCACTGTGGCTATACCCAGCTTAGCCCCTTTTCTGAGGATTCAGGTGAGGAGATAATTAGGGAAGAATTGGGCTTTTGAATAAAGTTGACTTATGTATTTGTTTTTCTGGTAGACTAAGCAAGGTACATTTTTATGCTGATGTTGAGCTTTTTGGAGATAGGAGTTCAGTGAAGGAGTAGCTGGAGGGAGGGGTTGGTTATGTCTTAATTTGAGGCAGATGCTAAATCTACCTCCTTTTCCATACTTGTCCTTTGATCGGGATAGCTAAAGAATTTACACCAGATGAACTAAGCAAGCCACCGGCTTACGACATTAAAACTGGTGGACCAAGCCCCCAATACAAGCCCTGGGGCCCAGCACGGCCAGGCTCTCACCTTTTAGAACAGCACCCTCGCCTAATACAGCGAATGGAATCTGGCTATGAGAGCAGTGAGAGGAACAGCAGCAGCCCTGTCAGCCTGGATGCAGCCCTGCCTGAGAGCTCTAGTGTCTGCAGGTATTGTTTGGCCTTTGGATAGTGGCATTGTCCCTTACAGCAATGTGAGCCACCAGGAGGCTTTTCAACTCAGATGGGTGGAGAAATGGACTTCATTACCATCTTGTGGGCAAAATATTTTACTTTATCAACTTTTTCTTTTTTTAAAAATTGATATAAAGTTGATACGCTATGTTATATTAGTTTTGGGTGTACAACATAGTGATTGGACAGTTCTGTATATTACACTATGCTCACCGCAATACATGTGGTTACCATCTGTCACCATAGAATATTATTACAATATTATTGACTATATTCTCTATGCTGTACTTTTTATCCCCGTGACTTATTTATTTTATAACTGGAAGTTTGTACCTCTTAATCTCCCTCAGTTATTTCACCCTTCCCCCCACCTTCTTTCCTCTGGCAACCAGCAGTTTGTTTTTGTATTTGTGATTCTATTTCTGTTTTTTATTTCTTTGTTCATTTGTTTTGTTTTTTAGGTTCCACATATAAGTGAAATCATACAGTATTTGTCTTTCTCTGTCTGACTTATTTCACGTAGCACAACAGTACCCACTGGGTCCATCCATGTTGTCGTAAATGGCAAAATTCCATTCTTTTTTATGGCTCAGTAATATCCCATTGTGCATATATACCTTATCTTCTTTTCCATTCATCTCTTAGGATGGTGCTTCCATATCTCGGCTGTTGAAAATAATGCTGCGATAAACATGGGGGTGCTCTGTCAGCTTTCTATGACAACAGCACCCTCTGCTGGAAGAAGGAGCAAAGACATTTGAGAAAGGAGAGAACTTTATTATATGTAAAATAATTATTTAGCAAATAACTTGTAATGGAAGAATTAGTGAATCAAAACATAGTTCTATGCCCAGAGAGAAAATACAGCTGTTTTTTATTCTTTTATTTAGGATAGTTTCCTTTTTTATAAGGGTCACAGGGATTCTGTGTTTTATAAGCCAATGGTATTCATACTTACAAAAGATAAAGATGATTTATTTTTATTTATTTTTTAAAAAGTTTTTTATCTTTATTTGAGACAGAGAGAGAGACAGAGCACAAGCAGAGGGAGCGGCAGGCAGAGGGAGAAGCGGGCTCCTTGCAAAGAGCCTGATGCGGGACTCGATCCCAGGACCCAGGGATCATGACCCGAGCTGAAGGCAGATGCTTAACCGACTGGGCCACCCAGGCATCCCAACAATGATGATTTAATAGTCCTCATTGTTCCTTGTTCATAGGGCCCAGTTTGCTTTATAAATTTCAGATCTTCATATATTGTTTATACTGAGTTGCCACAGAGGCAAGTTTCTTAACAGAGTTGCTGCTTTGCAAAGAGTGATTATATCTTCTACAAGGGTGATAATCACATCCTCGTATTTTCCCACTGCTTATCCCTCGACATGGGATCCAGAACTGTCCAATCACCTGTTGAGGTTTACACATGAGAAGATGGCTACAGAAATATAAGAAAGAGGAAGGCAATTCATATGTGAGCTTATGTTTATTAATTCATTAAATAAATTTTGTGCCAGATACTGTGCTAGATGCACAGAATGTGAATGAGGTGAGATAAGATGGGGGAACTATTTTCAGAAGTAGTTTAGCAGATACTTTATGTATTAGTTTGATGTTGTATTTTTTTTTAAAGATTTTATTTATTTATTTGAAGATTTTATTTATTTGTCAGAGAGAGAGAGAGAGAGAGTGAGCACAAGCAGGGGGAGCGGCCGGCAGAGGGAGAAGCAGGCTCCCCGCTGAGCAGAGAGCCTGACGTGGGGCTCAATACTAGGACCCTGAGATCATGACCCAAGCTGAAGGCAGATGCTTAACTAACTGAGCCACCCAAGAGCCCCTGTTTTATTGTTTTTTGAGGGAATTTAGTCCTAGGAATGTTGCAAGTTATCACCCTTCTGATGTTTTCACTAAACTCTGGTTTGTCTTTTGAAGGGATCCAAGTGCTAAGAGATCAGCTGGATTGGCACCTTCCTGGCGTCACATTCCAAAGTCTCACAGCAGTAGCATACTGGATGCAGACTCCATAGCATCCAGGAGTAGCTGGACAAAGAATCAGCCCCTGTCAGGTAAGCAGAAGGACACTGGATTTGGAGGAGTGGATTTGACTGCCAATTCTATTTGGAAAATAGCCTTACCTGAGCACATTTGAAATTAGAGGACAGTTGTACTTTAAGTTTTCCATCAGTAACTTGGAGTTTCCATCAGTAAATATGGAGGCATTTGAGCCATTCCATCTTTGGATTTATCTATCTTTTGTTCTTCATCATGGCCTGCCTGATTGTTCTTTACAACTTGGGGAGAGCCCTTGTGGGAATAAGAAGGAACAGAAATATGGTGAACAGTGTCAGTAGCACCTGCAGTCCTCAGAAGAATAAGTTCTCAGGATTTTTCCCTTGGAATAGAGGAAGCCTCATGAGAATGGATTTCTTATTGTTTAGTTCTATGAGTTGAGATGACAGAGGGAGACATGAAGGCTGTGGGCATAACTGGGGAATAAGTAAAATAAGTAAGTCAAACCTATTCTTATCCTGTCCAGTATCCCTGTTTTCTTTTCCCTTCTTGAGTGTGCCTTGTGTCCTCATAGTCCCTCATACTCCCTCCCTCAACCTGCCCTTTCCCTCATCAGGGTATATATATTTCTACATTTTTTTCCATGCCTATACAAGTATATAGATAAGTTTATTACCACCATTTTTTAAAAAAATAAAATGAACGCTTGGGTGGCTCAGTCAGTTAAGTATCTGCTTTCGGCTTAGGTCATGATCCCAGGGTCTGGGATCGAGTCCCGCATCAGGCTTCCTGCTCAGCAGGGAACCTGCTTCTCCCTCTGTCTGCCGCTCTCTCATGCTCTCTCTGACAAATATATGAAATCTTTAAAAAAAAAAAATGAAGCCGTACTATACATATTATTCTGTCGCTTGATTTTTCACTTAATATATCATAGACATCCTTTTAGGTCTATTTGATTCCATCTATAGACATTTATAAAATTGAATTTTTACTGGATATTTTACAAACTTTTTAATTTTTTTTTTTAAAGATTTTATTTATTTTTTGACAGAGAGACAGCGAGAGAGGAAACACGAGCAGAGGGAGTGGGAGAAGGAGAAGCAGGCTTCCCGCCGAGCAGGGAGCCCAATGTGGGGCTCGATCCCAGGACCCTGGGATCATGACCTGAGCTGAAGGCAGATGCTTAACGACTGAGCCACTCAGGCGCCCCACAAACTTTTTTTTAAAAAAGATGTATTAATTTATTTTTAGAGAGAGCACGCGGGTGGGGGGAAGGGCAGAGGGAGACGGTAGAGAATCTCAAGCAGACTCCAAGCTGAGTGCAAAGCCTGCCAAGGGGCTCAGTCTCTTAACCCTGAGATCATGGTATGATCCGAAACCAAGAGTCCGACACTTAAGTGACTGAGCCACCCAGGCACCCCTACAAACTTTTTTTTTATTGGATATTTTACAAACTCTTTAAAGAGATGTTGGAAGTTAAATCTGAGAAATTGACTTGCTTGAAGATTCCCAACGAGTTAGTGGCAACACATAGCTGAGTGCTGTCTAATGGTTAAGAGCATGGATTATGAATTTAACCTATTTGACTTTAGTTCAGCTCTACCATTTACCATCTTTGTCGCCTTAGGCAAGTTATTTATTCTCTTTTTGTCTCTGTTTCTTCATTCCTAAATGTGGGCAATAATAGTATCTACTTCATAGGTTGTCATGAGAATTAAATGAAATAATATATGTAAAAGTGCTTAAAACTGTGTAAATGCTCAACAAATGTTAGTTTTCACATTGTTATTGTTGTAATAAAGCCACTCAGGAAATATTTTACGATCATCATTATAATTCATAGCCCAGATTTCACCCTGAATCTGATGTGGAAAGCACTGTCCAAAACATGAACTCCAAATTGAATCAAGAGTTCCAAAGGAAAGGCAGTACAGTGGCCATAAATGCAGCAGGTGTCTAGTCTTAATTATGGAAATGTGACAATTTCTCTTCTCCCTTGCTTGTATTCAGGTGGGGAGATATCTTCCAAAAGCGAACTGGATGAACTGCAGGAGGAAGTGGCCAGGAGGGCCCAGGAACAGGAACTTCGAAGGAAACGGGAGAAGGAATTAGAGGCAGCTAAAGGGTTTAATCCTCATCCCAGCCGCTTCATGGACTTGGATGAACTGCAGAATCAGGGTAATTGTTGTGAGCATAGGTTGTGGGTGATGGGGACAGAGAGAGAGGGAAAAAAATACTCAGGTTTGTAAATTCCTGTCTTCTATTTAGCTAAGTTGTGTTTTATCATAATTCACTCATTTTAGTGAGAACTAGTGAAAGTAGGAGGTGACAAGCCTATTGATTGGAAGACAGGCACTGATTTTGGGCTCATCTATTGAAAGTCTATAGTTTAGAGATAGTATATTGTTCATGAAAAATATTTCCCATGAATATCTATAGAAGGTGTAAATAAAACTGGTCACCATTCAGAAACAGCAGAACAGGACAGTGAGTGAGCGACACTGATGAGGGAAATTCTACTTGCTGGGCAGAAATAGACCCTTGAAATTGCCCACCTGGAGCCTGAAGGAAGTAGGTCTACCAAGCAGGTTCTAAAAACACAAAGCTTGATTTTCTTTTGATCCTCTGATGACGCATTTCCCAATCTCATACAATTTTCATGGACTTTACAAGGCTTCTCCAACTGCGCCACACTAGTTACTTTTTTCCTTCAATTGCTTTAGGATGTCATTTTGTACCAGAAGAGACTAGTCTTCAAAATAGGAGTTTAAAAAGACTGAGGTATATACCTTAAGTAGACTCCTGAAACTTATATCTCTGTTTTTCTTTCTATGAAATGAATTTTTTGTTCTTATTATTCAGAATCCCCAGATGTAACAAATTATGCTACAGCAGTGCAAAGAATAGGAGTCAGTGCTGTTTTGGGTGATTGCTTTCCTGCTGACCACTTCCTACTTTTTGTCAACACCTAGAGAAGCTTAGTGGGCTAGTTTGGGCCTATTTGGGGACCATTTTTCTCCTCTAATCCTACTGTCTTTTGATTTGAGGCAATTGTTGCTTTATATTTCCCAAGGCATTGTATCTGTTTCCAAATTAGTTTTAAATTCCTAGTTCCTTAGTTGTCCCTATATTTGGATAGTCTTCTCTTCCTTTTCATCCTCAAGCTATGTCACATTTGGGTATCAGGTTTATATTGTTTCTGAAGGAGGAATCTTGTCATCTCCTTCCCTTACCTTTTTTCCTTCCTCTGTTAATTGGGCAGTACATGAAAGTTGAGAGAGAATCCTTCCGGCCACATTTCATTGTCAATTCTCCATACACTTTGATTCACAATCTCCTGGAAGAGCAAGGAATGGAGTACTAAGATTCTAGAACATTAGAATTAAAATCTAGTATAGTGATTGATCAACTATAGTCTGCCTGTATATCTATAGAGAACTTTTTTCGTTTTAATGGCTCTCACTACCATCTCTGATTATAAAGATTGTATAGATTTAGTTTATGTCAAATATTATGAGAAAACTTTAGGCCTGGAGTGTGGGGTACCCATTATCTCTTGACAGACCTGAATGCCTGGTTCTTCAGGGCCAACTTACTACTTCCACTGCCTTCCCATTCCTCTCTAAAAACCCCAGTGAATTAGGGAGTGAATGTTAGGGGTTTGGAAGAGCCTTTCTTACCATGTCCAGCTGGAGGTAAGTGGAGGATGGGGACATTATGAGAGAAATGACTCTGACATTTTGATATTTTTTCTTGTGAGCTTGTGAAAACTCATCATTAATCCCGATCATGGGTGAATTTACAATATGGCTTACTACCAATTTATGGTTATGAGTGAGTAAAAGCCAAGGGGGTACATAAACTTGAGTGTTCTTTTACAAAAGTTGCCCTTACAGTACTTTCTTGCTTTTTCATCTGGCACTGTACTTGAACTCTTTTGTGCCTGCTTCGGTAGACATTTGCTTTCAGAGGAGGAAGGAATATTTCACTCTCACTGTATGGGAAAGTGACTTTTGCAGTCAGTTTGGCAGGCAAGGGTATGATGATAGAAAATACTTAGCACTGCTGATGAAAAGTGTGTGCTTGCAAACCAACAAGGGCTGTTCAACTGCCTTGTTAGATATATTGAGGTTAGGAACTATAGAGCACCTGTTCCCAAGAGGTGTACTAACTTTCCAGCTGAGGGTGGCACAGAGAGGACTGTGAATTGATGTAGGAAAGAAGTTTTACGGATGGCTTTCCACAGAGTCATGAAGCCACTTTTGCCTTAATGTAACAGTAGAGGTCTCCGTGGAGGTCTGGGACATTCTGACACTGGTTGGTAAGATGTATCTTGTTGCACTGTGGAAAAACAGATCAGTTCCAGGCATAAGAATCTACCCTTCTGCTGTAGACAATATTCTGTTCTTTTCTTGAGGGTCCCTTAAGAGCTCTTGGAATTGGAATATGTGGTGGATAATGACATACTCCTCTTTCATGGCCTTGGCAATGTCTTGGTTAAGGTAAAAACAGATGTCCTGCATGTTTCAGAGAATTCTTCATAGTAATGGAGAGTTAGAATAAGGGTAGATCAAAGGCTCAGCAGCAAGGAGCTATGTGCACTGAAGGGAAACATCACTACATAGAAAAAGTTGGAACGAACTGTAATGAAAATGAAAAGTGCTGGCCCTTTCAGGGAGGAGTGACGGCTTTGAGAGGTCCTTGCAAGAGGCAGATTCAGTGTTTGAAGAGTCGCTGCATCTGGAACAGAAGGGAGACTGTGCTGCCGCTTTGGCTCTCTGTAACGAAGCTATCTGTAAGTAACTCTGACTGCTAGCGCTATGGCAGTTTTGACTAACCTTGGGATAGGTATCGTTAGAGTCATCACTCAGATGGGATGAAAACAGCTTTTTTGTCTCCTCACTGTCACTCTCCCAAACTGAGGTCCTTTAGGCTCTCTTTGCCCTTCAGATTTCTAAATGTGCCACATGCTGTCACTGTGGCCTGTGGATATTTACTGGAATAACCTCAGCTGGAGTCCACAGATGAACTATCCAGCCATGCTTACTTTCTTATCCCAAGATAAAGTTAGACCTCAGATTTGAGGTTAGTCTGCTCTTTCTCTAGTTACTGACTAGCTAGGTGGAGCTTATGGCAAGAAGAAATGAGTATATTGACCTCGACTTCCCAGGCCTGTGACTTTGCACGGCATATTTGATTCATGTTTCTCCCCTGCTTTCCTGGTATGCTGCACCATAAAGTTACAGTGAAGGACTAAGGCTTAGAATTTGTATCTGGTTCTTAAATGTGACCCACAAGAAGCTGTGTTCTGTAAAGACAGATGCAGATTTGGATCTTATTTCTGCTGTTGGCTGTCGGGAAGGGGAAGTTGGGAGCAAAGTGTGGAGACCAGAGTCGGACAGGTCAGTTGCAAAGGACGAGAGTGGCAGTCTCTAAGACGGAAGCACCAGTTTCTCTTCCTGACTCATTTTAGTTTAACTTTTTGTTTCGTTTTTTTTAAATTCGAATTAACCTGTTTGGCCTCCATGGCTTCCATGAATGTTCCTTAGAGCCAGAGCCAGCTCTTTACCCTGGACAGTATGTGCATGGTCCACGCCTTGCATTCCTGCTGCATATTTTGAGTTTTACTGCATATCTTTGCTCATTTTTGGTTCAATTTTATTTTTATTTTTGTTTGTATTTTGTGTTCTGTTTCTGCTATATTTTCTTTTGCATTTTAGCTAAACTAAGACTTGCCCTGCATGGTGCCAGCTCTAGCACGCACAGCAGAGCCCTAGTCGATAAGAAGTTGCAAATCAGTATTCGAAAAGCACGGAGCCTGCAGGAGCGCATGCAGCAGCAGCAATCATCGCCTCGGCCGCCGCAGCCCTCAGCCTGCCTCCCCTCGCAGGGGGCAGCCCTCCCTCAGCCAACAAGGTAGTGCCTGGGATCCACTGTAGTTTATGGACGCCAGGGGAGGAAATGACCATGGGTACTCCATGGTCAGAGCTCTCCTTGTTTTGGTGACTGCAGGGGACAGAGAAGAGTCCTCTGGAAAGATTTTCTTCTCAGGCCAGACATACACCAGAAAAAGCTCATCCCACTGCTGGTCCTTTCCTTAATAGTTCCTAGAAAGATACAGAAAGTATGGCATAATAAATAGACCATTTGTCCATATTTCCTGTGGGTGAGTTTGTCCCTGGACTTGTGTAACAACATGATTATTAAATTTGTACATATTATGTTCTCAGACATGGCAATTGGAGCTCTATTGCAATAGAAACCATGTGGTTTGTTTTGGGGATTTCAGTGCTTCCTGTCCCTGGTGGAAGCAGAGAAAGCAGGCTTTGCTCTGATTGAACCATAGAGAAGAGACACAAAGATTCCCTTTGTTTTGCTTTGCTATGGGCAGCAATAGGAAAAAAGTCCCCGGGGGCCATTGGTGTAGTTTTCACACTTTAGCTCTTGAATTTGGTTCTATTTATAATACATAGATTTAAGTTAAAATTAATTTTCGCTGTTAATAGGCCTAAGTAGTTCCCAGAATATAAATACTATAAAAACAGCTAACATTTATTGAACATTTAAAAAAAAAAAGATTTATTTATTTTTAGAGAGAGAGCAAGCTAGAGCTGGGGGAGGGCAGAGGGAGAGGGAAGAGAGAATCTCAAGCACACTCCACACTGAATGCAGAGCCCAGCGCAGGGCTCGATCCCACCACTCCAAGATCATGACCCGAGCTGAAACCAAGAGTCAGACGCTCAACTGACTGAGCCACCCAGGCACCCCATTTATTGTCCAGGCACTAAGCTAAACACTTTAATTCTTGCAGTAACTTTAGGAGATAAGGACTGTCACTTAGCGATATTTTATAAAGCGCAGGGAGTATAAAATACATAAGGTACCCAATATTGTTCAGCTAGTAAGTGGTAGAGGTGTGGACTTCAAATCCAGGCCTGTTTCACTCCATTAGGTCTGCTCCATAAGTATAATGATATATTCTTCATAATGTTGTAAGGGTAACTGGGTGGCTATACTCACAAAAGTTGATAGTATATTATCATTCAAATTTAATGCTAATAGCTAGGATCTTCCTTTTTCTTCATTTCTCCTACAGCATATCTAGTAGTTGAATGCTGATCTGAGAAGCTGATGAGAGATATGTTTTGAATATAAGCAGTTTAGGCAGCTAAACTCTTTCTAGAAAACTTACACCACTTGATATATGTGAGTAATTGAGGCTTTTATTTAAGTGCTTCTAACACTGAGTTTTTTAGGTCAGAAATACAAAACAATTAGTAAGAAGCCTAGTAAATGCAGTTAATTTCTAGTCTTACTCCCAAATCTCTAGAGAGTCACAGTGCATTACTTTGGGAAAATATCTCAGTGAATAATGCAACCAAATCCAGATTATGAAAGCACACTTGAAGTGGTTGAATTCTGTGTAATCTCATGAACCCAAATTACCCTGTACTCTGTAAATGTGCCTTTTGGTTCTTTTGGCTGGTCTGCCTCTCAGGACCCCAGGTATGAGTGATTTTCTAGGCTTTGCTCACCTTCCATGTCATCTGCATGTGGGATTAGCAATTTTTGTTTTTTAATTTGCAAGAAGAATATGATTGGAATGGGACTTCAGAGGCAGTGAAGAATATTGACCAGGACTTCACTTAATATTACTGTGTGCCGCTTTAGAGAGGGCATTTAATAAAGAGGATCAATATTACCTATTGCTTGGGTGTGAGCTGACCATGTGCCTGCCTTCTCTTGTGAACCTCTGAACTCTTGACTCTACTTGTGCTTGTCTCTCTATTTATTTTTACCATTCCTTTTGTGGATGGCTAGAAATGGGAACCAAATGAACAGGTCTTTTTGTAAGTGATCTTGTCATTTAAGGCAGCTTATGACTGGTTCTCTCCATTTATTTCAGTGAACAGCCTATCCCGCTCCAAGTATTGTTAAGCCAGGAGGCTCAACTGGAACCCTGCACGAATACAGAGTTTGGGGCCAGTTCTTTCATCCACTCACCTGCTTCCTGCCATGAGTCACACTCATCACTATTCCCAGAGTCATCTGCCCTGTCTGCCCCCCAGCACAATTCCCCTACTAGGTCTGCCTCAAACCTTCTGACTTCAGTTGAGGAGGACAACATTGACCCTTCTGCACTCCACAGGCAGGCCTTACTTAAAACACCAGGGAGGACTGAGAAGAATGCTCATTATGGTTGGGAACCATTGGATGTACCAGAGGGTAAGCTGCAAGGCTACAGGGGTGACAACAGCAGCTGTACCAGGTTCCCCCCACAAGAAGGAAGAGGCATTGATCAAGAACAGCTATTCCAAGAGAAGAGGGATCCTGCTGTCTCATCCCAGGTGATGCCTTGGTCACACTCAACTGGAACAGATACCTCTGAGAGAGGAGATGCACACAGCCTAGGCTGTAGTCCTTCAAGTTCATCAGCTCAGCCCAGCCTTCCCCTGTACAGGGCCTGCCACCCCGTAATGCCTGCTGCTTCCTCACCTATGCTTCACTCTCCTGATACTGTGCAGAAAACTAACCAATGCTTCCAAGCCAAAAGCCTCAAAACTTTGTTGATTTCAAAAGTGGATGGAGGCAGTGAGGATCCCTGTAGGCCAGAGTTTCCCAGCACAAAGGGGCTTGTCCGCTCGCTAGCAGAGCAGTTCCAGAGGATGCAAGGTGCCTCCTCAAAGGATGGCACAGGTTCCCAGGATAGAAGTTTGACAAATAGTCTAAGGAAGAACTCTTCCCCTTCTGACTCTAAGCCTCCCTTCCTACAGGGTCAAGGGAAAGGCCATTGGCCTTGGGCAAAACAACAATCCTCCTTGGGTGGTAGGGACAGACTACCTTCCTGGGAAGAGCCTGCTGATTATCCTTCTCTTGCCATGTACTCTGGGCTGCCTAATAGTGAAACTTCTAGGGGAAGACAGCCCAGGTTGGCAGAACCAAGCATGAACCAAGGAAAGCCATCTCAAGTGAGAGATGCTAGGCCTAAGGAACTGGGCAACAGTGTTGACTTGGGGACTTCCTTACCTTTGGACTCCTGGGTGAATGTCACAAGGCTCTGTGATTCTCAACTTAAACATGGGGTCCCTGGGCCAGGAATGAAGTCCTCCCCCCACGATTCCCATACCTGTGTAGCCTATCCAGAAAAAAACCACATCCTTTTGCATCCACATTGGAACCAAGACACAGAGCAGGAAACCTCAGAATTGGAGTCTCTCTACCAAGCCAGTCTTCAGGCTTCTCAAGCTGGCTGTTCTGGATGGGGGCAGCAAGATGTGGCCTGGCACTCATTTAACCAAACAGGTAAGAATGCAACCATGGGCAGGGGGAGTGGGGGACATAAAAAAGCTAAAAGTGAGAGGACAAGATCAGAAGAGGGGTGGCATTCTGTCCAGATAACATCCCCAGCTTAGGAGGTGGTAGCAGATCTTCTGACTTTATTCATAAAGACTTTAGGACAAGAGCTAGACCTTTTTCTGGCTAGAGTAGAATCATCATGGTCTAGTTCTCTCTTCTAAAGGAAGAGATCAATGAGTATATGCCCAGGGCTTCTGCAGTATGCAGTGCTAAGGAGTGGTTCATAGGTCTTTGAGAGGGACTCAGCATGAAGTAGGGGAGGCTGAGAAGAAAAGTCATCCTTCTATGGCTTAAGAGCTGAACTAATCCAAGATCCAGCTTCCAGATCCAACTTGCAACAAGGATGCCCCACATTGAGCCATATCTCCCAATGTGGCATTTCCAGATCATACTGAACCAGAAATATCAAGATCTTCCTTGATCCCTTCAGGAACTACCAGGTGTAGAATTTTCAAGATTGTATACCTGTAGGGTTCCTGTTCACTGACTACCCCTTAGATTATATTGTGTGAAGAATGAAGTCTACACCTTAAATGTACTTCACAGACTTAGTTCTGGAAACTGAAGACATGAAGAATATTTATAACTTAGATTGATGTACTTGAGAACTCCAAAGCCTGAACTGTTATCCTGGTTCCATCATTAACTGTCAGCATAAATTTGGACAAGTCACTTACTATCCCATGGCCAAATTTTTACCTGTAAAATTAGAGAATGGGTTCAATGATTTGTTTTAAAGATGCCTTCCAACTCTTAAAATGATATATATAATTCTGTGAAATTGAACTCAGAGAATTTTATCTTTAGCTCGGTATGGCAGTTTCCATAACAGTACAGGTTCCTTGCATGCTGCCAACTGATGTTTGAATACAGCCATGGAAGTATTTATTGAGTACCTAGAAGCTGTTCCTAGAAGCTGTTGGTGAGGGGATATTACATAAATATAAAATTTGATATTAAGGTATATTTTTAGGGTATGGATCACAGTGTAGACTTTGCAATAACGTTATATTAAGTGCTCCCTAGGTACATGGGACCGGGCAGTATGGGAAGATTCTAAAGAACAAGGAAAAGCTCGCATCTACTTCAATTAGCTTCCTGTCTGAGGGAGAAAGAATATACAAATGTCAAGTATTTTAAGAATAATAATAAACACATATAAAAGAATATATTACAATTAAAATTAAACTAACTGAATGTCAAGCATCATATTACCAAAAAAACCCAAACAAACAAAAAAACTCTTACATTACCCAAAATAGGAAATTTTTCATTGTAGATACTTTTGAAAATATATAAAGTAACAAAAATCATTGATAATCCCACTCATAGTTTCATGAGTTTACTTCTGGCTTTGTTTTTTTATGCATATACACTATATATTTTGTTTTTAAAAACAAATTGTTACAATATATGTATGCAGTTTATTCTCATGATGTTTTTATATTATATTCATGAGCATTTTCCCTTTGAAAAAAACTACCTTTAAGGACTGGTAATATGTTGCATATGAAGGTACTGTAATATATTCAACCATTTTACTATACTTTCTGTACTTCCAATTTTTAGATAAATAGATGATGAATATCTTTATATGTAAGTGTTTGGCCACAATTCTGATAAGCTTCTCAGAATAAATTTTTAGAAGGATAATAACAGTTGAAGGTTATTTACTTTTAAAAATTTCTTGATTATGTACTGGTAAATTAGCCTTCAGGAAGATTATACTTCTGAAAACAATTTGGAAAGAGTACCTACCAAACATTACTTTTTTGCTTAATATTAAGTGAACAAAAATTAGTTAAAAAAAATCCATCTGATGAGTCAGTCCTCAAAATCCTTGTCAAACCAAACTAGCCTTTATTTTGACATAAAGAAGTGATCAGGTGGAATAAATCAGGAAATAGATAATGAAGGGAAATGCCAATTAGGATCTGTATATGATAGGATATATCTTTAGGGGAGTCACTCTTTATTTTATCTTATTGTAAAGCATTTTTTAAGTACCAAGGTACTTTCTCCCCCCAGCTTTATTGATAGAATTGACAAATAACATTGTATAAGGTTAAAGTGTATAATGTGAAGGTTTGACACATGTATATTTGAAATTATTACCACAATAAGGTTAGTTAATACAACCATCACCATGGATAAATTGTAGTTTTTTTGTAAGAACATTTAAGATCTACTCTCTTAGCAACTTTCAGGTAAATAATGCAATATTGTTAACTACAGTCACAATCCTGTACATTAGATCCCCAGGATTTATTCAGCTTATAATTGGAAGATTATATCCTTTGACCATCACCTCCCCATTTCCCCCACCCTCCAGCTGCTGTCAACTACCATTCTATGTTTCAGTGAATTTGTCTCTTTTTAGATTCCACATATAAGTGAGGTCATGTAGTATTTGTTTTTCTCTGACTTAACACTTTAAAAAAAGCTTTATTGATATATAATTTACATACCATACAATTCATCTACTTAATATGTATAATTCTGTTTTTTAAGTATATTCACAGAATTTTCCATCCATCACCACAATCAGTTTTAAAGTATTTTCATCACCCCATGGGGTGCCTGGGTGTCTCAGTTGGTTAAGTGTCCCACTCTTGATTTTGGCTCAGGTCATGATCTCAGGGTCATGAGCTCAAGCCCCACGTTGGGCTCTGTGCTCAGTGTGGCGTCTGCTTGAGATTCTCTCTCTCTCCCTCTTCCTCTATATTCTCCCTCCCACCCTGCACATGCTCTCTCTCTCTAAAATAAATAAATAAAATCTTTAAAGAAACCCGCTACCCGGGGCGCCTGAGTGGCTCAGTCGTTAAGTGTCTGCCTTCGGCTCAGGTCATGATTCCAGGGTCCTGGGATCGAGCCCCGCATTGGGCTCCCTGCTCCATGGGAAGCCTGCTTCTCCCTCTCCCACTCCCTCTGCTTGTGTTCCCTCTTTCGCTGTCTCTCTCTGTCAAATAAATAAATAAAATCTTTAAAAAAAAAAAAAAAACCCGCTACCCATTAGTAGTCACTCCACATTTCCCCCTACCCCTGTCTCCCCCCAGCCCCAGGCAACCTGTAATCTATTTTGTCTATAGATTTGCCTGTTTTGGATACATGATATAATGGAATTGTACAGTATATGTTGTTTTGTGACCAGATTAATTCTGACATTATAGTTGTTTTTTTTTTTAAGATTTTATTTATTTATTTGACAGAGAGAGAGACAGCGAGAGCGGGAACACAAGCAGGGGGAGTGGGAGAGAGAGAAGCAGACTTCCCACCAAGCAGGGAGTCTGACTTGGGGCTCGATCCCAGGACCCTGGGATCATGACCTGAGCTGAAGGCAGACGCTTAATGACTGAGCCACCCAGGTGCCCCTAATTTTGACGTTATAGTTTCTAAAGAGTTATATAAACATTGCCGTTGACCTATATTTCTAAATTTCATAGAATTTTGAAGTTAGGCAGACATCATCTTAAAAATAACTTTTTGTTATAGAAAGTTTCAATTCTATTCAAGAGTAATGAGTAAATGTTACAATAGCCCTCCAATACTTATCACTAGCTTCCACAGTGATTATCTTGACCAGTTATCAACATATGGCCAATTCTGATTTAGCTATAGACAGCCCCCCCAACCTTTCCCTTCCCTACTGGATTATTTTACTGTTTATTTATTTATATATGTTTTATTTTATTTATTTTTTTATTTCCTTAAATAATCTCTAATTAGGTCTCAAACTCACAACCCTGAGATCAAGAGTTGCACACTCCACTTACGAGTCAGCCAAGTACCCCTCTACTGGATTATTTTAAAGCAAATCCCAGACATTATATTATTTCATCCATAAACAATTTGGAATGTATCTCTAAGAAATACAGACTCTTTTTTAAAAGGCAAAACTATAATATTATACCTAAAAAATTAACAATTTTTAATACAATACAATAACTAGCCAGTAATTCTCATTTTTTCAATTATCCCATAAATGTCTTTTCACAGTTGGTTTATTTCAAATTAGGATTCAAACAAGATCTACACATTGCATTTTGTTTATTTGTTTCAAGGCTTTTTTTAGCCTATAAAATTCCTTTTTTTTTTTCCCCTTAGCACTTATTTATGGAAGAAATTTGGTCATTTGTCAAATCCACATTCTAGATTTTACAGATTATATTCTAGTAATTTTTTCTTTTTTAAAACATGTTCTTCTTGTTTTTTTGTAATCTGGTAGTTAGGGCTAGAGGCTTGATTAAAGTCAGGTTCAATTTTTTTTTAAGTTTTATTTATTTAAGTAATCTCTACACCCAAAGTGGGGCTTGAACTCACTACCCCAAGATCAAGAGTTCTGCACACCTCCAACTGAGCCAGCCACGCAACCTTCAGTTTTTGTTTTTAATAAGAATATTATAGAGGTAGTACTTTGTATTTCTTTTTTTTTTTTTTTTAAGATTTATTTATTTGAGAGAGTGTGTGTGCACATGTGAGCAGGGGGCAGGGGTAGAGGGAGAGGGAGACAGAATCTCAAGCAGACTCCCTGCTGACCGGGGAACTGAACATATGGGGGCTTGATCTCAGGATCCTGAGAGCATGACCTGAGCTGAAATCAAGAGTCAGACGCTTAACCCACTTGAGCCACCCAGGTGCCCCTACTTTGTATTTCTTATATCAGGAAGTGCATGATATCTGGTAGTCTGTCTTCTTGTTACTGTTGATGCATGAGTAGACATCATCTTAACTCTATCTTCTATCAAATCCATATATCCCCTCAACAGTACTCCTTACAGGTAGCCACCTTCACCTCTGCTGAAATATCTTTACAAGAATCAGTCTATTCCCTTCAGGAGGTTCCAGCAGCCACCTCCTTGTCTAGTAATCAGACTTTATTAGAAGAACACCACATTCTAACCATTACAGCTGTAATTCTTAAATCTGGCTGCCCATCATAGTCACCCAAGGAGTGGCTTTTTAAAAAACACAGAAATAATTTTACATAAATGGGATGACAACATACATGCTGTTTTCGTAGACATTTTCTTATTTATCTTTCCTCCTCTTACATAAATTCCTACCTTTTATC